TGTTCATTATTTTTGTTATTTTCTTGCCTGGTCCATTATACTCCTGCTATGAGTGACACCATCCGGTATTTTTCTTTCTCTTTCTGTAAACAGCCATTCCTTTCTCCTGCCCTTGCCTAAGCCTTCTGGCAAACACCAATCTACTGTTTTTGTGGATTTTCCTGCTTTAAAAATTTTAGTAAATCCTTAGGGGTGTGAAATGGTATCTTATAAGTTTTTTTTTTTTTTAAGATTTATTTATTTATATTTACAAGAACTGGGGTCCAGGCCAGAGGTGCAGGAAGGTGAGAGAATTCACCAGAGACAGAGTGAGGAACAGAACAGGCAGATGGAATGAAGTATACTGCTGAGGGGAGCAGCGGGCAGGTCAAGCAGCAGGTCTGCCAAGCCATCTGGGTCACCTTCTAGGCTGGGAATCGAACTTGCATTGCAGTGGCTATGGACAGCTTCATAGCATTGTGCTTTAACCCATTGCACCACTAGGGAGGCCCATAATAGTTTTATTCTCCCAATCACGAATGATACATGCTAAACATCTTTGCATTTGGGACATAAATAGTTTTATAGAATGTAAAGATTAGCATTAATACAATAAAATTCCATAATCTGGGTAAACATTGTAGCTTTTACTAGGGAAAATCTTGTCGAAATGCTGCCAAAAGGGGACACATTTATAATTAAGCTTTGCCATTTTCTGATAAGAGACAAATGAAGATTATATCTTGGTTTTCCTGTTTTTTATTTTGCTTGTTCTCTGGTTGTCAAGGGATAAACCATCTTTATTCCTATCCTGCCCCTTTGTGTAGTGTTTGCCGAGAAAAAGATTGTCAATATCTGTCTTTTTCTTTTTCATTGAGGTAATACTGTTTTACAGCACTGTGTATGATCTAGGGGTCTAGGTCCATACCTCCTCAAATGTATGTTACAACCTACCCCCACACCAAAGCACCCATAGACCTTTACTGTAAACCACTGGGCCTTCCCCATCAATTACTTCCTTTTTACCTGAATAAGTTCTTGAAATTTAAAAATAAACATCACCCTTATTTCTCATTAGCAAGGAATACATGTAAGAGAATGCAGTTAAGTAATTAGCATTATTCCTAAACAATATGTGATAAAATATTTCACTTTTATATTCAATACTTATAGCAAGTGATGAAATATAATTCACTTTAATAAATAGTTATATGTTCTGTTAGACACTAAGTTGACAAAAATGAGAAAGACTGAACAACTTCTGTTCTTGGGTAGGTAGAGAGCAAGGAGGTTAGGGAATGTTTAAGGGAAATTTGGATGTTTGATTTAGGTGTTGAAAGATGTAATCATTTGACAGGTCAGAGGGATGGAGCAGGATAACCCTGCTAGCAGAGAAAACAGCATAAAAAATGTGTGTTGGGTCTGCTTGATATCTGAGAACTGACAATCAGTGGAAGATAAGATTGGCAATGTAAATATGGGTTATGAAGTGAGAGACTTTGAATCCGTTGTTGGCTGTTTTGTACTAGAGAAAATTTTTTAGAATTCCTAGAGAATTTGCACATGTAGTATTCAGGGTTTTGAAACCTATTCAGTCTGTGCTTTTTAAATGTAATGTCAATCTTGAGCTTCTTAGAGTTTCCCCACCCACTACAAACTATTATTAAACTTGAATTTCTAGGTATGGAACTTGGGATTCCTAATTTTGGAAGTGCTTACTGGGTGATTCAAATTACCTCACTTGGAAAATATAAATAATTAAATAAACAGTATTTAATTTTGGTTAATTTTCTATTACCACCCAACAGACTGGCAATAACACCAACAAAGATGGATCTAACCACAAAGCTGAAAGTGGAGCTCTAATAGAAGCTGCAAAATCAAAGATACACCAGGTGACATAAATTTTAAAATGGCTATACACTGCATTGGTGGTTGTGAATAATGTGATAGATCATTGAAAGTAGGAACTAATTCACAGTATGCATTTTTTATTGGCTTTGAAGTATCATAATTTAAAACACATTTAGCCTTCTAAATACAGTTTGCTTAATATAATAATGTGATCATTTCTTTTCATTTCTCTATAGGATATTGAGAGAAATGATCTAGAAATATATTGAATGATAAAATCAATTTGTATAATTTAAGATTCATTGCTATTTAGCCATATGCAGAGGAAAATTGATAAGATTTGAATTGACATTCTTGGAAAATGAAATTTTTATAGTAAAAATAAACTAAGATAGTCTTGTTTGCTTTTACAAATCAGTGTTATGTTACCAACAAATTGGTTGTTATTTGACTATCAGTAAAGCTATTTTAGCATGTGTAAGTCTACCTAAGTTCTTATATACTAACATTTTTCCTTTGAACAGTATAAAGTAAGAGCTTATATCCAAATGAAGTCCCTAAAGGCATGTAAAAGGGAAATCAAGTCAGTCATGAACACAGCTGGGAATGTAAGTTTCTTCTTGGCTTTTCTCTTATTGTTTCTATGTCCTCAAGTCTCTTTATTTGGACAATAGGTACTTTTCAGTTTCAAGCATTTTATTTAAACCTATTGTTATATGCACATACATTCTCCTAACAGATACAAACCTTGATATAGAGTTGAGAAGTAGGGGTCATATTCTGTCTACAAATATATGTTTCTCACTTGGAAATTTTAAGAAGCATTTCCCCGTAGTATGTAACCTTCAAGAATCATCATTTTAAAGTTATCTACTCTGGAAATGATTTCTCACAATTCAATAAAACATTTACTGATAGTAGACACTTTAAGAATTATTTTACTTTATACTCAAAACATGTATTAAAGATTATCAAATTGTAGCCCAAACCTGCCATTTTCAACTGATTATTGACCTAACAATACCTTCAATTTGACTAATTAGATTATTTGAGATACAATTACTCCTTCATTGCAGCCCTTCCACTTCAACCCTGGACTGATAAATAAAGATGATAGAGAGAAGAGATAGAATTGCGAACAATCTTGATATTTTTGGGAAACCTTTCCACTAAAGTATCAAATCAGGAGGAGATATCATTTGTAAATAGAAATGACTCAGGAAATTTTATTGTAGAAATCTCAGGAAGGAAAGGATTAGCCACTGTCCTTCCTCAAGTGAATATTATCAAGTGATTTTTAAGAACAATTCCAGGCTAAAACTGAAAGTGGGTAGACTTGAGGGGAAGACCTAACCATCTCCTTATCATCAAATCTTTTTTGAGATAAGACCCCTGCCTTGAAAGAGCCATAGTCATATGGGAGAGACAACAGTAAACTAGCAACTGAAATGCAATAAAATAATCTTACCGAATCAGGGAAAACTTCAGTAGGAAGTAGTTTCTGGAATAAACCTTGGAATCTCTCCCCAGTGACCAGGAGATGGAGTAAAGGAGGATTTAGAAAGAAAGCTTATAGCTGGTCTAAAGTGAATAAATAATAAGACAATTCCAGATGTCCTCCTGTACACATAGTTAGTCCCCAGAGCTGCATACTTTTGCCTTCCAAATAGGTATTACAGAGATGTTCCTGCACCATGAAGATTCTTAGACATATCTGCAACCCAAAACATGCAAAATTAATTCTCAAAAATAAGTCCCCTGTTAAAGAAAGGGTTTTTCCATTCATAGAATGATTCTTGTTTTCCCTTACCTTTGTGAAATATTTTGATTTTCTGTACCTTGGATTCTTCTGAAGGTGCATTTGTAGCCTAAAAAGTAAGGGGAGGTTACCAGTTGCTAATTACCATTAAAATGAAGGAACTAGTGTGTGCTATTTAAATAGCTTCTAGTTGGTGTGGTAAATGACAACAGTCAGTTGACATTCTATACACTATTTTTCAACATATATATGGTAATATTCTAGATAGACTGTTAATTCAATTTAAATGTACTCTGAGAGTTTTTTAAGTTTTTCTAGAATGTGAGAACAATGAAAAAAATAATGCTACTAATATTTTTGTGACCATGACTTAGCTAATTCATTTATATTCTTGAACATGTTGCCATGTGCTTATGATCTCATAATATGCATCTGAAAACAAATTCTAAGTAATATATACTCTCTTTACAGTCTGCGCCCTCTCTCTTTCTCAAAAGCAATTTTGAGTACTTACGAGGCAATTACAGAAAAGCTGTGAAGCTATTAAATAGCTCAAATATTGCTGAGCATCCAGGATTCATGAAAACAGGTAAAAGAAAACTGTCATTTAAAGAAGTGTGAACTCCAAGAACAGTGGAGACTTGAAGTTTAGTGACCAAAAAGCAGGGTTTTATATGTTCTGTTTTATGTAGTCCTGCTGTTGTCTTACATTTGATTGTTCCCAGTCTTTTCTACATAATGTTCTGTTGTACATGTGCAATTTACATGTTATGTTAGTGGTGCATATAGCTAACCCTTTTTATATCATTTGCCAATAATTGTTAAATCATAGAATTAAACAACAGGAAACTAAACAGATTAACAAGATGTAAAGATTGGTTTACCACCTTTCATAAAAGATTTTTAATGAAAAGCTTACAGAATTTTCAGCTATTCCTTACATTCCAAGTGTTCTTTAAACTGCTCTGTAGGGACTAAATAGAACTATACATACATAGAAAGAAATCATGCTAGATAATGCCCAATTTTTGTCCGAGAAATCATGCTAGATAATGCCCAATTTTTGTCCGAGGTACATCTGCAGGAAAATTTGTCTGTGGAAAATGTATGTGTTTTTCTTAGGTGAATGCCTGCGGTGCATGTTCTGGAATAATCTTGGTTGCATCCATTTTGCCATGAGCAAGCACAACTTGGGAATTTTCTACTTTAAAAAGGCTCTGCAGGAAAATGACAGTGTCTGTGCCCAGCTCAGCGCAGGCAGCACAGACCCAGGTGAGTCCTTTCCGGGGAGGGGGCTTTGTATACATCTATTTTCATTGAGTTGGTATTAAGCGAAGCAGTGATTCTGTGTAGCAGCAGAATAAATGTTTTCAGTGGAACTTACTGTAAATCTAATGATTTAATAATGTAATTGTTATCATTAGGCAAAAAATTTTCAGGAAGACCTATGTGTACACTGCTGACCAACAAGAGGTATGAGCTGCTGTATAACTGTGGAATTCAGCTTCTTCACATTGGAAGGCCTCTAGCTGCCTTTGAGTGTCTGATTGAAGCTGTTCAGGTTTATCACGCAAATCCCCGCCTCTGGCTACGGCTGGCTGAATGCTGCATTGCTGCCAATAAGGGGGTGAGTGCTGCTTGGGTATCTTTGTTATCCCATACCCTCCCCCTTCCCACCTGATTCATCTTCCCCTTTCCTCCCTAGGTGTCACACTGAAAACAAAAAATACTCAGAAACATACAAGAGCTCATCCCTTTTTTTAACTCTTGGGGAATTTATAGTTGTCTGTTCTTCAACAGACAAAAAATTAAGTTCCATAAAGTCAGTTAACATCCTGGGTTTGGGCTAGTATGGCAAAATATATCAGCAGTCACCTTACAGAGTTGAAGCCAATAAGGAGGTCAGATCTGTCAGAGCAGTGGTCTGCTAGCCGCTGGGGCAGGGGTCATGCACTCTGCTGGCCTGGAACTGGTGTGTGCAGCAGGCGATTAAAGAGACTGGTGATAACAGTGAGTGTGGAAAGAACTGCATTTCCCTCGACGTCTGCACACTTTACTTCTGTTTCAGGAAATGGTTTAGAATCATGGATTACCAAGCTGTTTCCTCATGAACATGTGTTTGTCCATGGCTATGAGAAAGAGGCCAGTTTACCCAGTGTCCATGCGTACATTATCTCCAAATAGCAGTTGATAGAAACTTTTGAACTCAAGTGGGGAGGGATTATTGGGGATAAGGGAAAGAGAGGTGGTATCAGAATTACCAAATGTCTGTATCACCCCATTTTCTAACCCCCCTTGGGTATGTGGTGATTGGGATGGTAAGGCATCTGAGGTCTTTGCCTGGCTTGCTGGTGTAGGTGTGACATAAAATGTGGAGGCTCTCCTGCCTGGTAGCACTTCCCCAGAAGCAACTAAAAGAACTAAAGGGCTAACAGAAGTTGTTTGCCTAGCAGTTTTCTCACATAATACCTAAATATTTATGATTTAAATCACTGGGGAAGAGACAAGTATTATTTCTGAAAGGCTCTTAAGTAATTGTACTTTGCCTTTGAAAAGATAACTTTCTTACTGGATAATTCTCAAATAGCTAATAAAGGATTCTAGGTAGAATTTATACTTTTAAGAAAGTCTCTAGAAACTGCTTATCCTCCCATTCATGAACCTGAATGGCTGAGGCTTTTCTTATGTACAGGTATTAGAAAGCAGGGAGTGTACTTCTAGTAGGAGAGAAATAGAAAAAGGTTTTCTTTTCCTTCTAAAGTACTTGTAGAAATACTGCTTCTAGGATCATCTTTGTCCTGTGAGTTCTATTCCAAAATCACTGCCTTCATTTTCTTTTAGGAAGTTCTAAATATGTGATTTAAAAAGGTTTGTAAAGTGATTTGGTTGTCATAACTCAGTGGATATCAAAACACTCACAGTCTGTGCTACTAATAGGACATTTGGACTTTTCCATAATTCTGTCTTTGTCTAGGCTTCTCTGCTTTCTAAAAGGAAGTTGAGGTGACCTAAAAAACAGTAAAAGCCACCCCAAAGTTCTTTGTAATAAAATCATAAAGCAAAATTCCAATAGCAGAAATCCCCTAAGATGTCCTTTATTTAAGGCAGAAGGAATGTTGAACAAAGCAGTATATACTGTCAGGAACCACTTCATTTTGAATTAAAATAAAACTGATTTATTTGTCCTATTAGGTCATTTTGTGCTGAATATCTGATGCATGGTTCAGACATCTTTGGCAGAAGCAAGATTGTGCTTAACCTGGGCAGTGGTCCATATGAGAAAACATCTGCTAAATTAAAAAATATTTATAGAGCCAATTTTAGAAGAGATATTTTACATATTAAAGACTTTTTTTTTAAATATTTATTTATTTGTGCATACAGAACTGGGATACAAGCCAGAGGTACAGGGCACAGTGAGAGGCTTCACCAGAGACAGAGTAGAGAGTAGAACAGGCAGATCAACGAAGTACACTGCTGTGGGGAGCAGCGGGCGGGTCAGGAGAGGTCTTACTGCGCCATGTGGTCTCCTCCGGGGCAGGCGGGGATTGAACTCATGCTGAAGTGGCTTTAGCTTCTTAGTGCTGTGCTTAAACCTGCTGCACCCCAGGGAGGGTCAAGAAAGAGCTATTTAAAACAACATACAGTCTATTTTTCTGGAAATGCACCATAAAAATAATAAATGGATCATTTATTCTTCTGAGTTCTGAAACTCAAATTTGTTGAATGTTGTTACTGCCAGACAGTGTAAGATCATGAATATTTTAATTACATATGGTCCTTTTTTTTTTATGATTTATTTATTTAAGCAAAAAAATACTGGAGTACAGACCACAGGTGTGGGGGTTAAGAGGACTCACCAGAGACAGGGTGGGGAGCAGAACAGGTAGATTGACTGAAATACACTGTTAGTGGGCAGGCAGGACAGGAGACGTCTACCGTGCCATGTGGGTCACCTTCCTGGCAGGGGATTGAATTCGTGCTGCAATGGCTGCAGATAGCTTCATAGTGCTGTTTTAATTCACTGCACCACCAGAGAGGGCCTATATATGGCCCTTTTACTTAAGATTGATCTCAAATACTTTCTGACTATTGGTATATTTTTGAAGGTATGGTTTATTATTGTGGGATATTAGTTTCATTCCATCATTGTTTCCTCTGGTGTATCTCCAGATCTACTCATCTGATCAATATGTGTGATCTAAGAATCAGGGAAGAAGGTATAGATGAATCATTATGAATTTGTCACCATCAAAAGAAAACAGTGTGAATGAAAGTCCTAATAATGGTTCAGAAGGCCTCCCTGGTCGGCGCGAGGGGTTAAAGCTCAGCGCTATGAAGCTATTGGCAGCCACTGCAGCAAGAGTTTGATCCCCAGCCAGGGAGCTGACCCACATGGCGCAGCAGACCTCTCCTGTCTGGCCGCCACTCCCCTCAGCAATGTATTTCATTCAGTCTACTTGTTCTGCTCCCCACTTTGTCTCTGGTGAGTACTCTCACCCCCACTTCCCCTGCGCCTTTGGCCTGTTCCCCAGTTCTTCTACTTAAAAAAAAATAAAATCTTTAAAAATATATAATAATAATGGCTCAGAATACCTACTTTGATACACATTTTCTTTCTTTTCACTAATATGGTTGGGCTGCCGTCTCAACATAAAATTAGTAATAAGCAGAGTGGGTTTATTGCATGTGGAGCATCACATAATAGTAAAATAATTGAATATACCATTGAGTCCTTTTTCTATTAAAAGTCATGGATGAAGAAAAAAAAATCACTCATATATGGAAATAACAGCTGTAGTAGATACATAGGAAGCAAGAAGGAACAATCCAGAAACAGTTACGTTTAGAAAAGGACTTTTTGCTGGCAGAGTATAGTTCTGCAAGTTCATATGGATTGGCTCCAGTTTGTTTCTATGTATAAGAAGCTGGACAACTTGATAGCGTGACTAGTTGGGATTCCACTTGCCCATAAACTTAGAGATTTAGAGTCAGTGGGAAGATAAGTGAAATTGGCTGTACACGCAGCTTTTACTATTTTCTGTTTAATATTTACAGGGTTTGGGGACTTTAATTTCCTGGGCAAGAATTGTGACTGTGTAAATGTGAACATAGGTAGCATGTTAGAGTTTTCACATTGTTGACAATTTAATATTTTTAAATAAAAAGGAAAATATTTGTGTTTTAGTGCTTTGCTTCTTTTTTTTCATTGTGTTTTTGTGGCTCTCTTAATTTCTTTAATCTCCTGTCAGTTTGCCTGTAATATGCAGCATGGTGCCTAGATTGTTCTCTGTAGAAGGTTCTCAATGCTTGAGTCATTCTTGAATGCCTTTTTTCCTTAGAATTACCTCAAACTTTACATTAATAGATCACAGACTTTTAGCTTCATGTACTCTTTTTCAATACTGAAATATTTTTATCACCAAAAACTCCACTTTGGTTTTGACAGATAAAAGAATCATTATTTTATACCTCAGGTCTTACAATTCCATTAAATTAATTGAAATTATTTGTATTGTTGTAGACTTCTGAACAGGAAACTAAAGGTCTTCCAAGCAAAAAAGGAATTGTACAGTCTATTGTTGGCCAAGGCTATCATCGTAAAATAGTGCTGGCATCACAGTCCATACAGAATACTGTATATAAGTAAGTATTTTGCATAAAGGAAGTGCATATATATTTATTTAATACAATTCACATTGTTTCCTATATTTTCAAGAATCCACTTGTAAGTAAGGTTTGTTGCTACTATAGTGAATGTTATGGAACATGTCAATTTTATTAAATCCTTAGCTACTGAAACTATTCAAGACCAGACTTGAGACGCCCTTAGTGTCATTGTTCACAATGTCCAGAAGAGGGCGTCTTAGTGTTTCTTTTATATAGTTTGATTTTCTTAGATGTTTTTCCTTTAGTTATTTTCTCAGAGTTCCTATAGCTAATTCTTTCGTATTTGGAGGGGAAAAGTACTAATACATAAAGCAACTAAAAGAATATTAGGTTTCTGCTTGTACAGCCATCAGCTGAAAAATTTGTAAGTATTCATTTTAGAGTAAAGGAACGTTCTTTGAGGAAAAAAGAGTAGGCTTTTTTCTTTTTTAAAAAAATAAAATCCTTTACTACCATGTAAAAGTTTTTCCATTGTGCATTTCAGCAGCTTCTACAAAGAAGATTTGCATGGCTTTTGCTCATGGATGATGTGAAAATTCACAAATCATTCCATATTTTTAACTGTTTAATTGACCTTTAAGTTTGGTTACAGGGGAGGGAGAGGGGCGCTGCTGAACCCCCAAATGCCTACCTGTTCTAAATAGGTTCTGCCATCCACAGCATCAAGACAGAATATATAAGACCTGTCATGGAAAAGAATTTTAATACAATTAGTGTGCAATACAGAAAAGACAAAGATTATAATTTCGAAATCAATACCCAAAGTTACCTGTCCCTTTGTGGGTAAAAGTCCACCCAAAGGGATTGGCCCAAAGCAAGGTCTGTAAGCCCACCACAAGTCTAAAGCTCCTTCTGGAGGGGGACCCTAGAAAAGGGTCAGAAATGACCAGACAAGTCTGGGAGGAAAAGGGCAAAATCAAAATCAAGATAAATGCTGCCATAGTCAACCTCCCCACGGTCTCTCACCCACATCTGTTTCACCCAGTCCAGGACCAAGAAACATGACAAAGTTTTTTCACATGTTTCTCTGCTCCATGGCCTCCCTCAGGTCTCCTTCTGATTCTCTGTCCTTCCTCTTCAGTCTCCTCTCAAGATTCTTCTCCTCCCTGCTCAGCTCCACCCTCCTTCTGGGTGGGGCAGGGAAGCTGGAACTTCCCCTTTTCCTTGGGACCACCCTGTTAGACTATCAAAGCATTTATAACTCTCAGAAAAAGGAGAATACTTAATGGTGGATCATTTGGGAGTTATGTGTGTATGAGTATGAGCTTTAAGTTACCAGTTTATAAAGTCAGTACTTTGTTTATTTATTTATTTTTTTAAACAATTGATTTATTTATGCACACAAGAACTGGAGTAAGGCCAGGGGTACAGGAGGTGAGAGGATTCACCAGAGACAGAGTGGGGAGCAGAACAGGCAGATGGACTGAAACACACTGCTGAGGGGAGCAGTGGTAACATGGGAGAGGTCTGCTGTGCCCTGTGGGTCACTTCCCTGGTCAGGGATCAAATTTGTGCTACAGTGGCTGTGAATAGCTTCCTGGTGCTGTGCTTTAACCTGTTGTACCCAACTTTTGAGATAAGATAAATGAGGAAAAGTTATTTTTCAATGCAAGTTTTCCAAAGCTTTTCAGTAGTACCTGACATAGAATATTTTGATATAATTTATTTCTGCTATAATGCAAATACTTAAGTATTTATGGTAAATAAATATCTTTTTTTACAATATCAAAATTGTTGCTACTCTTCACATTCCCCCCCCATAAAGCTGACTAGTTTTAGTAAATCAAACCAGTAGAAAACTATGTAAAATCTAAACAAAATTGTAAGATGAGTGGCTATGCTGATTTTTTTAAAACTTACAAATAAGACATTTCCTAAAGTGTGGATGAACCAAAACAAGGCTCAGCTGTCAAAACTAAAAACCTACTTTCTCCCCTTCTTTCCAAGCCTTATTAAACCTGTCCTGGCCCATGCTACAGTTTTCCTTATCTCTAGTTCCTCTTTTCTGTTGACATGGCAGTATCCTTTAAGTTGTCTTTTTCCCTTGGTCCCATATACTTACAATTTATTATGTATATTTTTTATATACCATATATAATATTATAATATTTAGGGTGTGTGTTCTCTAGCATTGTCTTATAATTGCTTATACTGAAACTGATGCCTTGATAAGCAACGGTTTCATTTATAATCCTTTTGTCTTAACTCCTAATAATTATCTTTGCTACTTACTTACTTTAGTTTTGTTCTTTTAAGTGATGGACAGTCTTCAGCCATTCCTGTAGCCAGTATGGAGTTTGCGGCCATTTGTCTCAGAAATGCCTTGTTGTTGTTACCCGAAGAACAGCAAGATTCAAAGCAGGAAAATGGATCTAAAAATAGTAATCAACTAGGTGGGAATACTGAAAGCAGTGAAAGCAGTGAAACTTGCAGGTATTCTGATTCCTATAGGGGCCCTTGGCAAAAATCCTTTCAAGACTATTAGTAAATTTCTTTGTCCTCTCCAGGAATTCCCAAAATCTTCAGCCTGAATTTCTCCATTTTGAAATTCAAGTGTTAAAGTTTATGTTTTTCTAGAAGAGAGTAACAAGGCATCTTATCTTCTTACCTGCCTTTTCTTTTAATGTCCTGTAAACCACTAACCTCCAAAATATTTGTATATGGTTCTCATTTTCCAGCATAAGTTAAAATTATGCCCAAAAAAATGCTAGTCGATAAACATTAGAAACTGACTCGTTTGATAACAAGACAAACACCATAATATGTAAAACTATTGTTTTTACACATGACATCTTTTAACTTAAGTCTCAACTCCCAATATTATTTCTTATAATAATAAAAGTGCATGTATAGTGTAGAAAATTGGAAACACAGTTGTGGGACTTTTTATTTTCTTAAGCAAGGTGTTATGTTTTGCTATAGTTGATAAAAGATGATCAGAAGAATGGGAAAGGTGTGAAAATATTGTAGTGGTTTCTTTAGTGTAGCAGAAATAGTTTCCAGTTAGACATTTTTACAAGCAATATTATGGGTAAAGAGGGAGAAACTAGTTTTACAGTATAGCTCCAACATATTAGGGATACTCTGTTACAAAGCATTTTTCATTGCTTTGGCTTTTACACTTTTATTGTAAAAAACTCCCTTGGAGAGGGGCTAGGGAAAGAATTTTACATTACTCATTTGTTGTTCCTTATAATTCCAATCTGTCTCTATTTTAGCAGTAAAAGCCATGATGGAGATAAATTCATTCCAGCTCCACCTTCTTCTCCATTGAGAAAACAGGAATTAGAAAATTTAAAGTGAGTATCTAAATGAAAGCATTGCATCTATTGAAGTGAGCACATTGTTTTTAATTGCCTTTATTCTCTTAATATATATTGAATACTAAGATTGAATATACTGATTGAATATCACATGTTAAACCAATGTGATAATAAACCACACTGATCAGAATCCATACAACATTTAACCTTTCAGGCTTAACTTTTTTAACAGAACATTACTCTCTAAAAATTCATCAGTTTTGTTGTGTGTTCCTTCCTAATCACTGATAATTATTCCATAGTATGGACACAGCACAGTTTAACCATTCACCCTAAAGCAATTATAAATATTCATGTATAGATTTTTATGTGGACATATACTTTTTAATTTCTCTGGCATAATGCCCAAGAGTATAATTATAATTGCTAGGTAGTACAGAAGTTTATGTATTTAATTTTATAAGAAATTGCTAAACTCTTTTCTAGAGAGATTATACCATTTAACAGTCCCACCAACATTGCCAGTGATGTAGTTTCTTTCTTATCCTCACCAAATTTTGATATTGTCACTGTCTTTTTTCCTCATTATATGTGTTTCCCCTACTTTTTATTTTAGCTGCCTGATTTAAAAAAAGTGTGTAATGATATGGGACTTCTTTTCATTAAGGGCTTTTTTGTAGACTAGATGTTTTTATTTTGATTCTCACAGATTTTTGTTATGTTTTAATTTTCACTCATTTTAATTTTTTTCTAATTTCTCTTGTGATTTCTTATCATGTGTAGATTTTATAAGTGTGTTGCTTAATTTCCATATACATTGGTTGTGTTTTTTTTTTTTTTTTTTAAAGATTTACTTATTTATGCATCTCAGAGCTGGGGTGTGGGCCAGAGATGCCGAGGGGTGAGAGGATTCACCAGAGACAGAGTGGGGAGCAGAACAGGTAGATCCACTGAAATACACTGTTAAGGGGAGCAGCAGATGACAGGAGGAAGTGCGGAAGTGGTTGTGGCTCACTTGCAGTGCTGCATCCTTACTTATTGCACCACCCCAGAAGGCCTTAAAGGACTCCTTCATGAAGATATTTAACACTGCTTTTACACTGGGTTTAACTTTCACAAGTTCATTTGAATGGGTACTAATCCTAGTGTTGTTTTATTTATGCATGCAATTTAAGAAGTATATTACCCCATAATGATTGAGCAGCTGCAGAATTGTGCAATTTAACTTTATCTTTTGAAAATGTCATTGAAGTGAAGGGGATGTGCAGGGGGCATACTTCCTCCCAAAGAGTTTTGTACCTTTATTGGCACAACTCTGTTTACCCCATGTCCTAGTTAGGTGACTTTCAGGGGAAATAAAATTACTTCCCTATTTTTGTGAAAAAGGGGCAAAAGGTCTCCATTCCAACATCATAAAGTGAGGCAAGGATGAGTTCCCTGGTATAGATTAACCATTTTCTTCTGGAACAGATGGAATAAAGGAAATGGAACAAAGTGGAAGGAGCTTTAGGGTAGATTTCTCAAAAGAACTGCCATGGAAGACAGTGGGAATGATAATGTGGAAACGTGGTACAGGGAAAGGGCTGTACAAGGTTTGTGTCTATTTTTCAAAGCTGTAAAAGCTCACAATACAGTGGGGTGTATTAAAGGGCAGTTCTGAGGCAGGAGCCAGCTGTTTTTTTGTAGTAGGAAGGAGACTAAGCATATTAGCTTTCTGTTAAGATGGTGGATTTCTTAGAGATTTTATCTACTTATGACCTGACTCCTTTTATGTGATCGGAAATGTGTATGACTACTATATAGTTTAGTTTTTATGGACTATTATATTTGACCCCTTGTGCTCTCTAATCCTCAAGATACCAATGCAAAACCTCATTTCCTATTTCCAGCATAACCAATATGCAGTAAATTATCATGACTGTCTAGTGGCCACTTCTTACAGTGTGGAGTCACAGTCTTTGAGAATTTTCAGGTTTTTTTCATTTATAAATGAAGATGGGTCTCAAAAATTTTTATTCTAATCAAATTATAATTTAATTCTAGCCACATTTAGAAGACAAATCACACATAAAACAATTATAAGATTCCATGCTAAAATCAAGGTAACTTTCAGAAAAAACATCTTACAAAACAGAAATTTATTTCCAAATGAGGGAAATCTCTCAGAAATCAACCAAATAGTTTATTTGTAAGGCTCTGGAGAACATAGAGGTATTGATATAATTGATCAGGGAGGATATAGAAGTATAGTTAACAGTTACTATTTCTATTGTGGAATTCTCCAAATTTCAGTTTTCATTCAACTAGAAGAATACATATATTGTGCAGCCTTCAGTTAAATAAATGCTATGACTAAGTTTTTTAAATGGAAGGTGATTCTATTGATAGGTATTACCCAGTGGAAATGAAAGCTTGCCCACACAAAAAAATTTGGCAGATGTACTCATAATAGAAAAAATAGCCCAGGTATTCATCAATAGGAGAATAAATAGCTAAACTGTAGTACACTGAGTGTATTGGAATACTATTCAGCTAGTAAAAAGGAATACATTATTGATGTATACATCGATATATGTATGAATGGATCTCAAACATTTTATTTTAATCAGTTATAAGGTACATAGTATATACCATTTATATGATAGATAAAACTATGCAAAATTTATGTTGCTAGAAATCAAAACTGTAGTTGGAATTAACTAGAAAGGAATCTTTCTGCAGTGATAGAATGTATGTTTTGTATCTTTTTTTAAAGATTTATTTATGCATATGTGAACTGGGGTACAGATCAAAGATGCGGGGTTTGGGGGGGAGGTAAGAGAATTCACCAGAACGGGCAGATTTACTGAAATACACTGCTGAAGGGAGCAGCGGGTAATTGAGACAGGAGAGGTCTGCCACACAACATGTGCTCACCTCCATGGCCAGGGATTGAACTCATGTTTCAGTGGCTGCGGATAGTTTCATAATTCTGCACTTTAACACACCATCAGGGAGGGCATTCCACTGATGTCTTATATTATTAAATTTTCTTGATATATAATTCATACTGTACAATTCACATAGTAAAAATGTACAATCCTGGGGGCCTCCGTGGTGGCCTAGGGGTTAAGTCTCGTGACCCATCACTAAAACCTAAATTCTATCTCCAGTCTGGGGACTGACTCACAGGATGCAGCAGACCTCTCCTGTCTCGCCAGCTGCTCCCCGCAGCTTAGTATTTCACTAGATCTGCCTGTTCTGCTTCCCACTCTATCTGCTTCCCACTCTGTCTGGTGAATCCTTTCACCCCACCTTCAGGCCTACACCTCAGGCCTACCCCCCAGCTCTGGTATATATAAATAAAGACATCTTTTCTTTAAAAAAAAAAAAAAAAGTACAATTCAGCAATTTTTAGTTTATTCTCAGATGTGCAGTTAACTATCAGTTGATTTTAGAATATTTTCACCAGACCCTTCGTGGTGGCAGCCGGTTAAAGCACAGCACTGTGAAGCTCGCTGCAGCCACTTCAGCACAAGTTCGATTCCCGGGCAGGGAGGTAAACCACATGGCACAGCAGACCTCTCCTGCCTTGCCACTGCTCCCCTCAGCAGTGTGTTTCAGTCATTCTGCCTGTTCTGCTCCCTACTCCATCTCTGGTGAATCCTCTCACCCGTCGCATCTCTAGCTTGTACCCCAGTTCTGTATGTATAAATAAATAAATCTTCAGAATATTTTCCTCACCTCAGAAGAGAACGCCTACACCCAATAGCTCACCCCATTTGCCCCGTTTCCTCCCCAGCCCTAATCACCATACTTTGTCCTCCCCAGCCCTAATCACCATACTTTGTTTCTCTAGATTTCACTGTTCTCAACTTAATGGAATCATAATAAGTGGACTTTTATGACTGATGTCTTCCAGTTAGAATGTTTTCAGGTTTCTGCCAGGTTATAGTATCACATCTCATTCCATTTTATTGCTAAATAATAGTTCATTATATAGAGCATAGGAAATTTTGTTTATCCATTCATATATCCATAGCCACTTGGATTGTCCCCATCTTTAGACTGTTCAAAACAATGTTGCTATAAATACCTGTGTACAAGTGTTTATGTATTTTTTTCTCAGATACATGAATTGGTGGGTCATATGGTAGCTGTTCAGTCATTTCAGGAACAGCCAAATTGCTTTCTACAATGGCTGCATTGTTACAATCCTACCAGCAGTATATGAGGAATCCACTTTCTTCACATCTTCACTAATAATTGTTTTTGTTCATCTCTTTTATTGTATTTAGTAGGAGGTATGAAATGGTAAATTCACACCTAAATGATGAATTTAATTTGCATTTCTCTGAAGACTAGTGATGAATCGTTTCATATGCCTAGTAGGCATTTGTATATCTTCCTTAGAGAAAGATTTATTCAGATCTTTGCCTAGTTTTATTATTGAGTTCTAAAGGTTACTTATATACTTGTGTTTATATATATATATATATATAATAAACACAAGACCCTTATCAGGCATATCACTTGCAAGTAATTTCTCCTGTTCTGTATTATCTTTTCATTTTTTTGAAAGTGTCCTTGAGCTGGGCGTGGTGGCCTATATCCTACACCTGTAATTCCAGCTACTTGGGAGGCTGAGTCCAGGAGTTCTGAGCTGTAGTGTGCTTAAGATAAATTTGCCATCAAATGTGATCTCCCAGGGTGGTGGGAATACCATGTTGCCTAAGGAGGGATAAAGCGGCCCAGGTCAGAAAGTGTCTCCTGAGTCCCAAACATTTTCATTTTCATGGAGTTCATCTACTTATTCTCTCATTGTGCTTTTTGTGTCATCCCTAAGAATTCTTTGCCTACTTCAAGGTTATGAGAGTTCACTCCTGTGTCTTCTAAGAATTGCATAGATTTAGCTCTTAAATTTAGGTCTTTCACCAATTTATGTATAGGGAATGAGACAAAGGCTCAATTTAATTCTTTGGCATAATGGTTTCTATTTTAAAAAATAAAGTCATAGGATTAGTTGCACATTAACATTTCACTATAAAATTCATTAC